TTCGTAGGGCCATTTTTCATTTTAGCAGTTTCGATGCCGAGCCTTCGTTATCAAAAATGACTTTGAGAGGCCTTGGGTTTGTTTGCAGGTCGCGGCCTGGGTCTGCTATACCCAGACGGAAGGCTTTAATTATGGTAGTGAAGCAGTTAGCTATAGCCTCTTTTGTATAAAAGACTCGGTATTCTAGGTCTATTTATGGCCGGTTGCATATCGTTTTGTCATTGTTAAGCAAACATGAAACGAAAGTACCATGGCGTTAACAAAAACACCGCCTATAAACGCAAGATGCGCGCAAAGAAGGCATATCATGATGCCACGGATCCAGAAATATCCGGTCCTTCTGATCCCTCTATCGTGCCCGTGAGAAGCCCTTCACCGGAACAGAACTTGCCGGAACTGAGGTTAGAAGTTTCCGCTGGTACGTATTTCATAGGTGTAAGTTGACAAAGGGTTTAGAATCTGGTCCATATGGGCGATAGACCCCGCGCACTAACATCTGTTTCAGCTACCGCAATAAAGTACCACCCTTTCGTTGACTGCCAGAATCTCTTTCAAACCGAACTTGCTTCTTCCGCTTTATTTATTTTTAAGGCCACTCTGTTAGATAAGATTCGCTTAACATCAACTCTTGCTAACATCATGTGCAAGTACGTTCCCTTTGAGATCGGTGGCAGCTTCTTCCTTTTTCCCTTGTTGCACACTTTTAAAATACAATGACTTTGTTGTTCACTGGCCTTTTTACTCAAGTTCTTCTTTTTCCTTAAACGGTTAACCCTTTTTTCTTAGTGCACACTGGCATGTACTCAGTTGTTCATTTTGTCGGCGATCAAACCGTAGGCGTGGTTGCGGCATCCTGGTTTATATACCCGCATACCGTCTATTGGCCTAAAAACGCCATGAAACGCAGACATTTGCTGGAGAGGAATGTTAAGCCGCCGGAGTCCACCCTCTGTTATCGCGTCCGAACGATACAGGGCAACTTAAAATTGGAAAAGGCCCGGCGGAAGGTTGCCAAGGCTCTAATGTCGGACAATCTGTCCAGCTTTGAGCCCACTCAAAGAGGCAAAGGAATGAGAAAAGAGTACTTTATCATTACCGATAATATCACTTTCCAGATTTGCCCGCCAGATATGATCAAGTTCGGATGAAGATGAGGCAGACGTGCGCCGGCGACTTATTTCTCAGACGGCAGCAGGTGGCTGGCCGGCGTCACCTCCCAGCCTTCAGTTAGAACCGTTGTGAAAACTGACAGTTTTAGGTCCAGATGCGAAAAAACAACGGAGGTGATTACAACCTCGCACACAGAATATGGGTTATGACGCTTTATTACTTATAGTTCAGCATTCCTAGTGCACCCTGTCCTAGGGAGGACCCACCTACGTTGCCGGTGGAATATAACGAACTATGATTTATTACGTTCTACTTTAGCATTCCCATTGCATCCTGTTATGGGCCGAGTTTGCCTACCTCGCCAACAGGATATCAGTAACTGTGATTTATTACGTTCTACTTTAGCATTCCAACTGCATCCTGTCATGGGCCGAGTTTGCCTAGCT